GGCCAATACACACTACAGAGTCTGCACAGAGCCTGAGAGAGAGACAGGCCAATACACACTACAGAGTCTGCACAGAGCCAGAGAGAGAGACAGGCCAATACACACTACAGAGTCTGCACAGAGCCTGAGAGAGAGACAGGCCAATACACACTACAGAGTCTGCACAGAGCCTGAGAGAGAGACAGGTTAATACACACTAGAGTCTGCACAGAGCCTGAGAGAGAGACAGGTTAATACACACTACAGAGTCTGCACAGAGCCTGAAAGAGAGACAGGTTAATACACACTAGAGTCTGCACAGAGCCTGAAAGAGAGACAGGTTAATACACACTACAGAGCCTGAGAGAGAGAGGCAGGTTAATACACAATACAGAGTCAGCACCGGGCCAGAGAGACAGATACACACTAAAGAAACTGCACAGAGCCAGAGAGACAGATACACACTACAGAGTCTGCACAGAGCCTGAGAGACAGGTTAATACACACTACAGAGTCTGCACAGAGCCAGAGAGACTGGTTAGTACACACTATGGAGTCTGCACAGAGCCAGAGAGACAGGTTAATACACACTACAGCGTCTGCACCGAGCCTGATAGAAACAGGTTAATACATACAACAGAGTCTGCACAGAGCCTGAGAGGGAGAAGGTTAATACACACTACAGATTCTACTGTCCACTCAGTACACTGAGGGTGAGGGATAGGAGAGAGGAGCTGATGGATCAGGGGTCAAAGACAGGCAGGGAGCATTCTGCTGTGGAATGTGAATGAGAGGTGAGAGAGGAGACAGACCAGACACAGATCAGGAATGTGTCCACACACACAGTGACACACACACACTCGCACCCTTATCAGTACACTGATACCACACACTGAGAGAGGAGAGGAGGAGAGGGAGAGAGAGGGGAGATGAAGGGGGAGAGGAGTGATGTAGGGGAAGAGAGGAGAGATGGAGAGGGAGAGGAGAGATGGAGATGAAGAAGGGGTGAGAAAGAAAAGTAAAAAGACAGGATGAGGGACCAAGAGATTTGTGCGCGTGCACACACACACACACACAGCTGGAGTGGTCCTGGCTGACCTGCTGGGCCTCATGCTGTCTCTGCTGATAAAGGACACCTGGGATCTCTGGCTCTGGCCCACACAGTGCAGCACAGTGGGGAAGGGCTGCCCCAGTGTCTGACCAGTCAGGAGACGGCAAGGAGGACAGACCTGACAAAGTCCAGGCTCAGTGACCATAGACAGACCTGCCTGTCCAGAGAGGTCAGGCTCATTCACCACAGTGTGGACACAGAAACTGGACACAGACAGACCTGGCTGTCCAGAGAGGACAGGCTCAGTGACCACAGACTGGACACAGACAGACCTGGCTGTCCAGAGAGGACAGGCTCAGTGACCACAGCCTGGACACAGACACAAACAGACCCCTGTGTCGTACCTTGGAGTGACAGAGTGCGCCGAACACCACCATTACAGTGGCGGGGGCCAGGATGGTCCCAAAAATCAACGCCACCAGCCCGGCGTTGATGGCGGCGACGACCAGGTTCTGGGCCGTGACCAGCACGGAGCAGGCCCAGCAGTCCAGTGAGCCGCGCAGCTCCAGGGGTGGGTCGCCCGTCTCCGCCACCGAGTAAGGGGGGGGCACCACGACCGCCGTGCCCGCTGCCGTGCCCCCCGCGGGGCCCCCCGAGGCCGAGGGGGAGGCAGCCGGGGGGCGCTGCCCCTCGGTGCTCTCCAGCTCCAGGGTATCTCCTGTCTCCAGGATGTCGGTCATGGCCTTGGGGTTCTGAGAGGAGGATGGAGGGAAGGGTCAGAGAGGAGGAGGGGGATGAGAGACAGAACAAGAACCTGTGTTCTTCACTCGTGGTTGCCGCCTGCGGATCGGCAGTCGCTTCTGTACACAAAGGGTGGTGGGAGTGTGGAACAAGACGCCCGTGCATGTTGCCGGAGACGATACCCTGACTTCCTTCAAGAACAAGCTGGATGAGATCCTCAGGTCAATTAACTACTAATTACCAAACGAGCTAGATGGGCGAAACGGCCCCCTCTTGTTTGTGGTCTGTCTTGTGTTATCTGCTTTCATGCAGCACAGAACAACACACAACAGGATTCATGTTTTAACCCCTTGGAAGGCTGTGAGAGGTTTGTGAGAAAGGCACAGTCCTCGACATGATCAAAACTCAGACCCAGTGCTGTGGCCTTGAGGCAGGATGGGCTTCTGTTAACAGGGAGAAGGTGCACATTGAGGGAGAGCTGGTCTGAATGGGCGATTAGACCTCAGAGGCAGTGAGATTCCTCATGAGGTAATGGCAGGGACGCCTGCATCACTAACAGAGCAGCAGCCGGGTTTGCTGTTGCTTTACTCCTCTCTCTCAGACCACCTGTATGCGAGTGGTAAGGTACAGTGAGCACTCAGGACGAGACCTGCACCAGCTAGACTCCTCTGTGCTGTGAGAAGACCTGCTGCCTGCTCAGTAATGTTCCAGTCCTGCAGGTACCATCTCCCCCCCCATCGGTCCTGGATTGGCTGGCCAGAACATCAACACCGCCTGGCCTTTGTGTACAAAACCCTGCGCTTCCTGTGCAGATTGAATCACCCCTCAGCACAGTCCACACTGTCTTCTCCAGTCTCCCTTGCTCACTCACCTGCTGGTTCCAGAGGCTTGTAAACCCGCCCAGTCTAGCCCTAATGAGCCCCAGCCTCTGCAGTACTCTCCCTCCCTACTGACGGGAGCCCAGACTCGTGAACTGAACCCCCATTCCGCCAGCTGCCCCTCTAACACTCCTCATCAGCCCAGAGGAGCAGCTAATCCCACTGCCTCTGAGTGGTAATTACCCATTCGGACCTGTTGTTCCTCATTGTGCTGCTTCTCCTGATTAACAGGGGCAAATCCTGGCTCGAGGGCACAGCTCCGGGCTGGGGTTTGGAGCCAAGATGCTGGCTTTCTAACACCCAACTTTCAGTTTTTTTTCACAAGAGTGATGATCTAACTGTGCAAAGCAGCCCTTAAACCTTTACTCGTGTTTGCTTTGAAATGCTTGGAGCAGGTTGCAGAACTGCTCCAAGAGCTCCCAAGCGCAGCGCAGAGTCCCACTGTCCTCCCACAAGAGTCCAGCTGACACTGCAGCAGGGCAGGCTGGAATACTGCCTCTGGGACACGGGTTGTTCCCTGTCCAGCTCAGGGGCAGTAAACACAGCTGAAGTTAACCCCTTCCCTGCTCAATGCTCTGCAGTCAATGCTCTGCAGAAGCCATGCTGTGTACACCTCGCTGTGTCCTAAACAAGTGAATCTGCCAGCTGGGGTGAGGTGAGAGGCATTGCTGGCGGATCAGTGCAGTTTAGCACTCTGTTCGTCACGCTGAAAGCATGAGTAAATAAATCTCAGCCTTAAATCACAACACGCATTACAGCCACCTGCAGACAAGCCAGCAGCACAAAGCCATGCTGTGGGCTGACTGTCTTATTGATTCAGTGGATCAAGTAATAGGTTTACTCCATGCTGAAAAAAAGAAGGAAGAGAACACAACGTTTCGGCCGTGGAGCCTTCTTCAGGTGTGAGAGAGACAGGGCAGTAGGCAAAGGGAAAGTAGCGGAGAACCTTGTGGTTCACGTTGCGAGACTGGAGAGGAACGGGCAGGAGGAGTGAGCCAGTGTGCCCGTCTGCTGGGCGTGGGGGGTGCCCACCGGTCGTGCTTTCGGACACCAGCAGCCTCTCCAGCCCGGGAGCCCCCGCGGTGGAGAGGCAAGGAGGTCCTGACCCCCCTTCCTGGGCCCAGCAGCCAGACACGGTCAGTCTGAGCAGGCAGGAGGAGGCCCGATGCAGGACACCCCAGCACGGCACTGGCGGCTCCACATCAGCAACATCAGAATCCGAGCCCAGAAGAGGGCTGGGGTGCCAGTGTGGCCCCTGCGCCCCTCGCCCACCGCACAGCCAGAGAAGGAGCACTCACCGCGTCTCCGGGCGGCAGGAGCACGTCCGTCCCGGCACAGCGCTGCAAATCCAGGGTCTCCGCCACCTCCGTCTCGGCTCTGCCCCTCCGCTCCGGACTCCCCGCGGCTTCTCCCCGAGCGCCTGTGCCTGTGCCTGGCTCTGTTCGCTCCGTCTGGCTCGCGGGAGGGTGCGGGACCGCCTTGTCCTTCCCAGCGGTCCTGGCTGCCTCCGGTGTCGCGCTCTGGGCAGACAGGGGAGAGGATGGCCGGCTGTGTCTTGGGGAGCTCTGGCTGTGACGCACTGTCCCGAGCAGGGCTGTGGTTACAATGCCCTGCGTGTTAATTATAACAGTGTTGCTCTCTCTCTCTCTCTCTCTCCCTCCCTCCCTGCCCGTTCCAGCTTCCTAACAGGCACACCTCTCCCTCCCTGTCCCCTCCCCCCCCTCTCAGCTGGAGCTGGGGGGTGGGCACAGGGGGGATCTGAGATAACCTGACTGGAGTGGGAATAAGAGTGGAATCTGCAGAGGGAGCCGGGAAAGGAATGTGGATTTAAAGCGCCAGGGAAAGTTTTCCAGCCTCCCCTGCGCATGCTTCCTCGGAGGAGTCGGGTCTGCCGGAGGTTCCCAAGGGTCCGCTCCTTCCCGGAGCGATCCGCGCACAGCAGGGGAACTAGGGAAGAGAAGGAGAAGAGTCCGGCTGGAGAAAGAGCTCGGGGGTCGGCCAGTGAACCCCCCCAACACTCACAGCCTCTCAGGGGGGCCCATTACATCAGCCTGCTATCCTGCAGCACAGCACGCTGAGACTGGTCTGCTACTGCCTTACGGAATCATGGAAATCTGTTCTCTATGCGTTTAGGTCTCCCCTCTAAACCAGTGCTGCCCTGTACTGTTTTGGAAGTGGCCAATAGCAGAAATGAGCAAGTTTTACTTCTGATCTTCTGTCCTGCCAGGGCTGGGGGCTGGGGGGTGGCCCTGCAGGCGTCCCAGAGCCACATTCCTGCAGGGAAAAATCCCCCGGGAAAGGCTTTTAGCTACGTCAAAGACAGCAAATACCCACCCCCCCCCAGGTCAGCCAGGTCAGCACATGCTGGTTACTCTTCTGTCTTCCTCTTCCTCCTAAATCTTCCTCCCTGACAAACTCGGCACGCGAGGGGTCAAGCTGAACTCCCAGTCAAGCTGAGCCCCACTCGCAGGCACAGGCACAGCTTCTGCCGCAGGCCAGGATGGTCCCCGGGAAGCAAAACCGCCGGAATTTCAAAACACACGGCGAAGAACAGGGAAAGACATTGCCGGGAAGGGAACTGTGTTTTATACAGTGAGCCAACCAGGCTGAGTCTGGGGGAGACAAATCTCCGCTCGGATTCACCCATTTCTCCCTGGATTTGCGCTGATGCGGAGCGACACAGGAGTTAATCCTGAAAGAGAGGGGGTCAGCGGGGGAGCGATCACCAGTGAAGATCTGTTGCTGTGCCCAGGGAGGGGGGGAGGAGAGTTTTTGGCTCAAGCCCCCTACTCTCCGAAAGTGATAAAAACACAGCAGGATGAGGAGGGAGGCAGGGAGAGTAGAAGAGGGGGGGAGGGGGGTACTTTCTTTATATCAGAGCCGTAAAAACTTTTAAAAAACTCACTGGTGACAGAACAGAGGAGGAGGTAGTGTTCTGCAGAAACATACTCTGTGTACAGAGAAAGACGTCGAACACAACTAAGCAATATTTCACTAGGAATAACAGCCCCCAGGAATGAAGCGTACTGGAAGGATTATGGAGTGGTTAGTGAGACTTTGGCTTAACCCTCTTGGCTGAGGGCCGGCCTCTCGGCCACAGGATGGGGAGGCAGGACCCCCCTGCAGAGTGAGGAGTGACCAGGGGGCAGCTGCAGAGGTGGAGATGGGGTGGAGGAGAGACGGAGATCACCTACAGTATTTATAGCGTCTTAGAAGAGGAAGTGACATCAGGAGTGAGTGCTAATTAATGACGGCCTGATTGAACTTGTTTGTTGCCGTCTCTCCCAAACTTTACACTTACAAACTCCATTCAGAATCAGTGACCACAGCCTGGACACAGAAACTGGACACAGGCAGACCTGGCTGTCCAGAGAGGACAGGCTGTGCTCCCACTGCCAGCAGGGAGAAACAGAGACAGAGGTGCACTTCCTACTGCACTGTGACACATTCTGGGATTAGAGAAACATTCTTCCCTAAATTCAGAAATCTAGTCCCAGAGTTCCCACAACTGCCAGAATCACAACAGGTCCCAATCCTACTGGGAGAGGGAGGAGGGAACTCAGTTGAACTGGCAGCCCAGTATGTGTCCTCCTGTCACAGCAGAGGGAGAGAGGCAGAGAGGGAGAGGAGAGAGAGGCAGAGAGGGAGAGGAGAGAGAGGGAGACAGGGAGAGGAGAGAGAGGCACACAGGGAGAGGAGAGAAAGGGAGACGGAGAGAGGAGATTGAGAGAGGCACACAGGGAGAGAGAGGGAGACAGGGAGAGGAGAGGGAGGGAGACAGGCAGAGGAGAGGGAGAGAGGCACACAGGGAGAGGGGGAGAGGAGAGAGAGGCACACAGGGAGGGGGGGGGGAGGAAAGAGAGGCACACAGGGAGAGGAGAGAAAGGGAGAGGAAATTGAGAGAGGCACACAGGGAGAGGGGAGAGAGGGAGACAGGGAGAGGGAGACAGGCAGAGGAGAGGGAGAGAGCCAGGGGGAGGAGGGAGCCTCTCACCTCCAGAGTGGTCAGAGTGGCTGTGAGAGGACAGGAAAAGAGGGAAGTGAAAACAGAGCAAGTAACAAACACAGGAAACAAACGCAGCTGCCAACTCACCCTTGAAAACTTCCATTCTCTCCAGGGATCTCGAGGGAAACAGAGCACACACAATTACACTCGCCTTTCACGGCCGGGGAAAGCACGAAAGGAGAAGGCAGCCGGTTCCACACCCCCACCACCCTTTGTGTAAAGAAGTGCCTCCTGTTCTGAGCCCTACGCGTGCTCCCTGTCAGTTTCCACCTGTGCCCTCTGGTCCTTGTTGCGGCGTGGAAGGACAGTCCTCAAAGTTGACTTTGTCACTCAGGTACTGAGCCATCTGTAGCAGAAATAGCAGCGAACACCCTCAGAGCAGACCTGCCCTCCTCTAGTGGCTAACACACCGCTTCATTTCAAAGCAGCGTTACCGCCATCCTGCCCGATCCAACCATCACTCTGCTGCTCGGCAGCGAGGCAGGAGGCCGCTGTGGAAAACCTTTGTGGTCTATTCGAGGTTCCATTGCTGAAACTGCTGCCTCCTTCAATGCAGCTGAAGCACATGAACCAGCAGTGTGGGGCCTCTTGTGAGATCACTGTTGACAGCCTGCTTTATCACAGGACAGCGTGTCGAGATAAAGGTCAGGTCTGCTGCTACTTTACAGTTCACAAGAATCATGGGATATACTATGTGCTAGGCCATTCCTACCGCCTTGGATGGGATGGACCATGCCATTTTTCCAGCAGTTGGGAAAGTAGGCCAAGTATTGACCACTTTTTTTCTACCACAAGACATGAACCAGCAAGCAATTACCATACCAGAAGGCAGTCAAGCATAGTGTTTTTTTTTTAAATGCTAACTGGGGACTCCCATTCTGTATCACACAGAATTGGTTTTTTTTTTGTCTGACCTGAGCATCTAGCAAGACTGGGGCCGTCGGGGGCAGCAGCAGCTGAGCCCTCTGCCTCACACTGCGCTGACCGCACGGATCCCGGCTTCCTGTCCTCCCTGGACATCCTGGCTCGCGGAGAGCCGCTGGCAGGCCCTGGCAGCCAGGGCACCGCGGGGGGATGAGGCGAGAGTGGACACAAGTACACGCGTTGATCAGGGTCCCGGAGGCAGCCAGGTGCTCACAGCAATGCTCCGAAAGCAGCAGAGAACCCAGGACAGCGAGGGCATTTTCTTCACTTCCAAGGTTCACAAAACCTGAAGGAGAAATTCACGCTACACCTTTGCTTCCCCATATACACATGCCCACTGGCCAAAATATGAGGTACCAACTCCACAAGGCAAACACTGGAGACGTGAACACACCTCTCCCCATGTCTCTGTCCAGATGTGTGAGATCTTATCCCCAGGCCACCAGGAACGCCGACTTTCAAAACAAGAAAACACTCTTTCTCCTGTATAGTCCAATTTTAACTCTACTTCATCCAGCCAGTTTAGAAAGACAGGGAAACAGACCAGCAACTTTCTTTTAAACTAGAAGACTTTCTTCAGGTTTTCTTTCCTTTTTGTTTGCTAGATGGTGACCAGCCGGCCTCAGCCTTGTGACCTGTTCTCTATGAAAAGACAGCAGGAGCTCAGGTTTGCGTCACCTTTATCCCAAGTACAGCCCTTCATGGGCCATGGCCTGCTGGGAAATGTAGTTTCTCCACCCTTACAAGCTTCCTGAACTACAGAATTAGTTCTGGGGGGCATGATTGCAGGGGGTGGGGGGTTGAAAACTCTGACATTGCACAGGCCCATAACAGACATTTTCTACACATATCCTACTACCCTGTCACACAATATATGACAGGCTTACGGAGCTGAAGACAAGATCCCATCGGGATCAATCAGAACAAGCCCCAAGATTTCAAACCTATGTCCAGTCCAATCCCACACATCCCCACCACTGCAGGCACAGGGTGGCGCTGGGCTGTACCTGCCTCCTTACTTGAGCATTGCTCTCCCACGTTCTGCCAGAGCTGTTTCTGCCTCACACATGGAACGGGGGTGTGTGAGTACCTAATCGTTTGGCCAGTGGGAACTGATCACCTAAGCCTGGTTCTTGCAGACATCGCCTCACTGAGCCTGGACCCCGACGTGATGGGGTGAAAACAAATTTTTGTGATTTTTTTTGTGAAAACGTGATTTTTGTGAAAACAAAAGAGCAGAAAAGTTGAACTTCAGTCAAATGTTTATCAAAAGTTTTTATTATTTAGAATAATAATAGTAGTAATAATAATAGTCACACAAATTCACAAGTGTAAGAGAAATCTGGCTCAGCTTTTCCGTGTGAACATTTTTTTTTTTGATAACAGTGCAGTTTCAAATAGATGCCGATGGAGGATAAAAAGATGTGTATTTGCGAAAGGAAAAATAAAACTCCTGCCAAAAGGAAACCAGGAGACAGACAGAGAAGGAAAAAGGATCTCATGTCCAACAACTGCAGCCCATCGAAATTCATTAGCTTCTGAAAAACAGTTCATATCACTTAGTCATCTTAGCAAAATGCCCTAGAAAATAAAAAATAATAATTTTTGAAATACAAAGACAGCATTCCATCAAATGAGTTCTATGGGGCCCTGGGGTCTATTTAACAACAGGGAAGGTAAAGTTTTATATATATATAATTTCTATATACTGGGGGACAGAAGGAGAGGTGGAGCACCAGTAAGAACAATCCTCTCCGAGCACCCATTCATCAAATATTACAGGTTAATAAGAATTATTATAATAACAATAGAAAAGACCTTTCAAATTTCTGACATCCCTATTAAAAACAAAACAATGGGAGAACCATCCATATCCAATAAATAGAAGAAGAAAAAAAACAATATATAAATAAAACAAAACAATTTACATTAAAATCTTGAATCCAGAAAAACAAAACCAAAAAAAAGAAACACAATTCAACAGTCCCAACAAAATCGAGGAGGTAAAATGATTTTTCACTAAAAAATAATATATATGATCACAACAAAGGTGAAAAAAGACCCAGTGTGATAGCTAATAGGGTGATACCAGGACAATTCAATATTTAAAAACAGGAAATCAGATCCTATTATGCCAACATCACGTCTTTACAACACATATACAAGATTCTCTAAGACAAAAAAAAAGATTTCTACAACCCGTATGTTTTTAAGCATTCCAAACAATTGTATGTCTTTTTTAATTATTAATGCTTTAGAAAAATGTTCTCATATCTCTATTATTATTCTTTTTTTTTTACTTTTTATGTAAATACAAGTCCCAAGGCCAATGTGGTATATAACTAGGCTGTTCTATTCTTCAGATACAAAATAAATAAAAAAAAACAACACTTGAACAGAAAACAAAACAAAATCTAGAGAGAGGAAAAAAAAACAGCATTTACAAATTTCTGGGATCTTAAAACAGAACAGAGCAACACGGGAAAGAGAAACAGCCCTCAGCACCTTTCTGACCACAAGCGTTCCTCGTCGTTTACACAGAGAGGCGTGTCCCACAGGGCCCTCCCCCGGACACACCCCCGGACCCGTCTCTACGGCAACCAACCCGCAGTCACAGAGGGAGGCGTGCTCACTGGCCAGTCCCCAGCCAGGCTTCTCTGGGGGTCTCTACGGAAACCAGAAACCCAATCCACAGTCACACAGAGGAAGGTTCTGTCCACTGGCCACGTCCCAGACACGCCTCTCTGACCAGGCCATTACAGAGAGCCACTCCACAGTCACCCAGGAGGCGTGTCGACAGGCCCCTCCTTCCCGATACGCCCCCCCCCCGATCAGGCTGTAGAGGAAACGAATCCACAGTCGGCGGGCGGGGCCAAAACGAGCAAAAGGGCGTTTATTGGCTGATGCGGCTTTGTAAACAACACTGGAGTAAACGGTTTGATTGGCTGTTCGGCAAGTATTAGCAGTAGTTGTAATACAAAATACAAAAAAAACAACCCAAAAAATTATACCCCTCCCCAAAAAAATAATAAATTAAGAAAATGTTTTCTCCTGGCGAGCAGGAGCCATGTTTTGGTTATGGCTATGGACACAGAAGAGACTTCCTATCGTGAGCTGGGCATCGGTGCCTGCAAGAGAGAGAGAGAGGAAAAGGGGTCAGAGGGAACGGAAGAGAGCCTCACGATCAGCACAGAGTATTTGCTTTGCCAGCACAATCCTGGTACTTTTCGGAAACCCAGTTATTGTGAGGTTAATTACACGCCAAATTATCCGTTCAGAGAGTCCGCTCTCACGGAAAGCTGCGTGTTCGTCCTGGAGCGAAGCCGCGGTTTTTGTCCCCGTTTTCCGCAGCTTTTTCGCTACAGTAGCCGGCGAGCAGAGGCTATCCCGACAGGACCTCCCCCCTCCCAGACCTGCGCCAGCCTGGCTAACTCCTCTACCAGGACAGACAGGGCGATGAGCATGAACGAGCATGAACTATTGTCCAAGAGATTTTCTGTGCCTATCCTCTATGGTAACTATGGTTTGATTCTTATCAAGCTTTATGGTTTTCATTTGCCTATCCTCTAAACTGTAACTATGGCGTGATTATTATACAGTACAAAGGGCTTTATGGTTTTCATTTGTGAGGAGTATTTTTTTCTGTACAGATCGCCAAACTCGTAAATGTAATGTTTAGTATCTTAGGACAAATCATTAAATCTCCTACATGGCTGTACCAAAATCAACTGTAATCTCAGATGGGTCAGTTAATGAGCCCTCATCTCCAGCAGAATTTTAAAAACTTCTAAATTGATCAGTTTATTAAATTATTATATCACGAACGCCAACCATGACGCTTTAAGATGAATTGTACGGTGAATTGTACAATTGTTTGTATCTCTGTCAGACTTGAATCTGCTTTAGCCTACTCTGGTCTTTAAAATCCAGGTCATTGTCAAAGAGCTCCGGTGCTTGTCTGCCACACCGGCCCCAGGCCCCGGGACCGAACCGGGAGGTGTTGCAGGCCAAACTATCCCGGGGTTCGAGGCGGATGTCCCCCGCAGGGCCTCACCAGAGTGAAGCTGTCGTAGACGCTCATCAGCTCCTCCATCTTGTACTGCTCCAGGACCACCACGTTGTTGAGGTTGGTGCTGCGCTGGCGGGCGCAGTCCTCGCAGTGCACGACGTAGGTCTTCCGGCTGCCGTTCTCGCTGGTCACAAACAGGATGTTGTACACCTCCACCTGGCCCAGGGGGAGAGAGAGAGAGGTCAGTCGCCGGCCTGCCGTGTTTGTCAGGAAGCCCCGAGCTCTCGAGCTCGGCGTCCGTGTCTGCGCCCGCCCAGGCTGACCCCCGACAGCCCCCACGCCGCAGCAACAGAATGTACTTCGAACTCAGCACAACTCTGCTCCCTGGGCAGCAGCACGGGCCCGCTGGCTGTGTGTGAAACCGAGGGGAGGGATCTGGCGCACATGGAATAGGAGCCACAGGGAAGAGATCAGCGCAGCGCCTGGAGAAGAGCGGAGGGAGCGGAGGGGTTGTGCGCGCGCGTGTATGGGTGTGCGCGCGCGTGTATGGGTGTTCACACTGGGAGTCTGAGACACTCACATCACACTCGTTGCAGTAGTAGGCTGGCTCGTCCTTCACGCGGCTCTGATACGAGATCTTCTTCCCGGTCACTACCAGCTGGTCCCGCAGGATCTGGGAGTGCTTCATTGATTGCAACAGGCAGTGCCTGGAGAGAGGAGGGGGCACACAGATGTTTTACATGGCTTTCCGATTTTCACC